AAAGCTAGGAGCTCTTAGGATTTGTTGTGTAAAATTTGGCATGCTTTAAGAAGTGAATCTTACCCTGATAGACTATAACAGCTCTTTTGTTTCTGTAACTCCCGCTCGATGGAAAGATTATACACTCAATCAACCATAATGGCTCCCACTAAGACAAACCAGTCTATTGTATCAATTTTACTCCAAGCATGAATACTAAATCCATGCCAAAATCTGTCTAGTAATACCATACAGATATTTTTAACCAAGTAATCTGTTTGCATTCTCCTCACACTTTCCATGATAGCAATGCATTCATTAAGAACAATACATCAGTTAATTAAATGCAAAATCCATTATTTAAATAATAAATCCATTATTAAATAACAATGACTTTTTGGATATAACCACAAACAACATACATCAGAACATTTCTTTTTTTGTTTTAAGATGTTCTGTAATAGAATCCCATATTAGCCATAGACTATAAAAAAAAAATTGTCCTCTGAGACCCATATAGAAGACCTATGCATAGAATATTTGCTAAATACACCATGTATGATCTTTATAAAAACTGGCAAACACAATTATTTCCAAAATTTACCCCCAATAGTCCTAACAAACCAGTAGCTAAAAGCTTGTTTTCTAATCACAATGCATGATGGAAATGTTTGGGGACAGAAGACAGAATCTCAGTTGCTAATGTTAGTCTAAAATACTCTGTTTCAATTATTACTGAAGAAGGTGCATATTTGGAAATCTGACATCTCAGCTGGCATTAGTTATTTAAAAATAGACTATTAAACCCTCTCGAGATACAATCTTTATAATGAGTCTGATTATTATTAGGGAAAAGGAAGCTGGGAAGGAAATTCAAGTACAGTAACAAACACCTGGAAAGTCTCCTGAGACTTTCGTATTTAGACTCACTGAAATACAGCTAATCTTGAATTCATTATCACAGGAACACCGTTTTGGTTTAAGTAGTTATCACACCTCTTCATGTTTATTTTCAACTGTCACCTGAAATCAGAAATGTCTAAGGATATCTGCAGCATGACTGGCAAAGAAGCAAACTCTTAACTAATGGTAATATAGTCCCAAGCCAAAACTGAATGAAGTAAATGGATTAAGATATAGTTACTACTGCACTGCACAAAGTCATCACCTAAGATACTTTATTTCTGTGCAAAATGTGAAGAATGAATGCAAATTGAAAATGACACTTGCTAACTCTCAAGTAGGTCTGAAAACCTGACTTTATGAGCCTTCATTATGGCCATGGTTTGGAAAGCATTATTTTTGCCAGCATATACACAATGTTTGAACTTGGGTTTTGAAAATTAAATATACATCTGTGTCCAGATTTCTTACTAGAAGAGATTAAAAATAAATGAACTGCTTCCAGTTTTAATTCTCTTCCATTCAAAATGCTCTCTTTTGAAGGCAACCACAAAACCTGATGTCCTGTTGATCATTTGTGAGGTTCAGTCTTCCTCAGCTCTAGGCTGATTTAAAAAAAAAAAAATCAAAGTTATCCTTCTCTCTGTAGAGATGCATACAAGGTGAGGAGGAAGGGGAGAGATGAGAAACTTATAAACTATGTGAATGTTGAAATTAGCTGAGAAGATCTCTGTAAGGGTGCCTACTCTCTTCTTAAAGGCAAAAGCTTAATTACCTTTAATGTACATGCACACAAATGGACAATCATTTGTCTTCAGTTGAAGTCAACAGGAATTTTGCCTTGACTACATTTTCCATTTTCTATGAATAGGAAAATGATCCCTTATATCACAAAGGATTTCTCTGTAGCTTTCATTACTTCAAAAGACTGAATGCCAGATAGCAGGCCATACGCTTGCGCTTGATTTCTACCGAAGTCAAAACTAAACCTTCCAATGGATAAGGAAGATAAGGTTCACTATGTTGAGTTCATGTCTTTCAATCTTTTCTTGTACACCTGTCTTTCCATTTATTATGGGTCTTTCAGGTCATATTATTGCATACAGTGATTTCTAGAGAGCTGTAAATTAATTCTCATATTTATTTTACAGTGAAGTAGGCCAAGAAATTATCCTTATTATAAATTAAGAATTTTTATCAAACTAAAAGAAGAAAAAAAATATTTCAGACAAATGTGTTCTGTTAAGAATGTGATAAGTCACATTCAAATTATTTAAGCAGAACTCCCTTTATATACCATATTTGGTCCATAACTCTTAGTTATGCTTGATAAAATTAACCACATATCAACAAACCCTCTGCCAAGTTTATCAGATTGTCTAACAAGGCTTTACACGGTTTCATGTTTTTTCCAGAAGCCAGACCTTTCATTAAAACACTATCAAGAACAGCTATAAAATGTTCTCAAAACAATACCAAGTTTTCCACTCATTTATTTTGTGTGTGCGCGCGCATGCGCGCGCACACACACATGCATCCGCACATGAGCACATTTGCATGACAAGTCACACACACTAACACTCTTCAGTAGAGATAAACTTTAGCAGATTCTCTACTGTCATACACACACACACACAGACCACATGCTATCTCCAGCAAAAAACCTTACTAGTTTGATATGGCTAGTAGATATTTATAAAAGGCAACTATTTATCTCCATATCTGTGCTACCCACATTACAATCTACTTTTCATTAAATGTGGTTGTGTGTCTGTGGCACTTAAACTTTCCGAAAAGACCTTGGCACTAAATTCCATACTGATAATTATCTAAATTAGAAGTCCATAAGTTTTCTTAAAAGAAGCATTGTATTACATATTAGTTAATCTATTAAAAATAAAGAATAGAAATATGGAGCCTACTCTTGGCGAAACTATTGGAAGTTTTACCGTTTTCCACCAGAGCAGGATCAAGCACTCTATTAGCAAGTCTTCAAAGATAAACACTTCGAAGCTACAGCATATAATTCTATGCATTAGGTCTAATGGTATCATTATACTATGGATCATTTTTCCCACAGAACTTCCTCAGTTTATTAAAAATAACAGCACACTTGACAATAGCATTAGACTGAGCAAAACTGCATTTTTAAACAATACTAATCCAGGGCAATGAACCATTTGGAAAAATACATCAGTGGATACAGAAGTCAGCATAAGAAAGGGAAAAAAAAAAAACCCTGTTAATATAACTTTTTTTTTTTTTTTTTTTTTTTTAAGAAGAGCATGTACATCATTAACTACCAACAATGTTCCAATGACCATGTTTATTTTATCTTGCAACTATCTGCCAAGAACAGTAACAAATAGGAAAGTTTGTTTTAAATGTGACATCTCCTTATTAGCCCATGTATTTGTTAATAAGCATTTAACATGTTGCATTTGCTGCTAGCACATTTTAGCATCTGTATGGTGCCTATATTCCAATAAGTACCTGCAAACACAGGGCCAAATTCTGTGAGTTGACAAATAAAGTGCTTTAGGATAGAATCTGAAGGATCCATAGAAAACTGTAGAATCTGACCCATAAACATTTACATGGAAATAAAAAGACTGCTAAAAAGTGTCAGCATAATCCTTGAAGAGCTCCTCAGCCTTATGATAGTTTCAAAGCTGCTGCTATCCTCTCAACAGTTCATTAGTCTCCCAGATAATGAAACAGAACACACAAGTGATTTAGTTAACTTATCCCATGAGCAACTTCATCATTTTAGCAACTATAGACCATTTCAACTGTTTTGATAACGGATACAAAGAGCATAGATAATTAAACTTATAGCCTAAAAACTTTTTTTAAAACCCTTCTTTGGCTAATAAATGACCACTGGAAACATAAGTTAGGTAAAGAGAACATTTCATTTGCATTAAAAAGTAGAAGAGTGTGGGAGTTTTCTAGCAGTACACTTCATAAAACACAAAATCTTACATTTCTAACAAGCTCAGAAATGAAACCAGGTCTGTGAGGGGAAAAATAAAACCCTCAGTCTGACCTCAAGTCCAGCGCCAGAGTCAGAAAGATCTGTGATAAAGCACAAGGCCAACTTCTGGTGACATGAATGGGCTATTCCTCAACGGGCCTTCAACTCATCCATTGCAACACAGCAGGATCCCACGTGGAATGCAGCTTGGGAAAAGGGATAAAGAAACCTGCCTAGGCAGAGACTGAGACTCTGGTGCACCCAATTCCCAACCTTCCCCTGCACATTTCAGCACTTTTGGCTGAGTGGCAGGAGGAAAGCCTGTAGGTTTGCAAGCGTTTGGCAGGCAGGCTCAGGGCTCTGGCTCGGGGAAAGCACCTGGGGTCTGAGGGCGGGGCGGCTGCCCACCGGCCACGACTTGCAAGGAAAAGAAACCAGGTGCACGAGGCTGCGAGCAGCAAGCAGGGTCCTCGGCCGGCGCTCCGGGCTGCAGTGCGGCCCGGCCGTCGGCAGGGGGCGCCCTTGCACGAGCAAAGCCGGGCTCGCCTGCTTCCCACAGCCTGGAAACTCCGGCGCCCGCTCCGCAGCGCTCGCTGCACGGCTCGAGCGGTAGCAACTACATAGTAAGACTGTCAATAAAGCGCACAAGCTTTGAACATGCTGTGAGTCATAACATAAAAATAACCCTTAATGTCTCTATTGCAGATGATTAATCTACCGGATGTTTTTCCCCTCCTTGGGGGTTCATGGGCCGTGCACCTGAGCAGCCGAAATCCCACCCCCTCCGGGTCAGTGTGTTCCCCGGGAGTGGGGGGGGGGATGTTTTATTCCCCCCCCCCCCGTCATCAGCAGGGAGGTTTCCATTGGTAACGCCTCCTGTGCCGTGTAGGCAACCAGGGCCCTTGCCAGCATCTCTCCGGGCAGAAAGTAGAACAAGTCCTTAACAGGCTTAACATGCACAGGAGGGAAAGAACAGCAAGAGACTGGGGGTGCTGTTTTGATGACCTGGAGTCGAAACCATCGCACAATGTGGCCAAATGAAAAATGATCACATCCCTCCCCGCCAGCTTCTCATCATCACCATCATCATCGTGTCTTCAGGAAAGAAAGGGGGTGGGGGTGGAAGGAGCTCAGTACTCACCATATTGACTTCTGAGACCATATCTATACTGGCAATGTCTATGTTCATACCGACAGCCACGGGGGGACCTGCAACCCAACAAGATGGTCCGCAATGTGATCTCTGAGAACTTAACTCGTTCTTCCCACACTTACCAGGACTCATCACGCGGCGAAATGGCGTGAGTTTGCCTTTAACCCGTCCACCCCCCCAAGCCAGGCTCGCATTTGCTCCACGCCAAAGCCATCAGTTCACGGTGTGTTCACCCTTCGCCGGCAGCTGTGGGGACATTTTATGTAACATGCACACACGTGTGAATAATGGGGGCTGTGGATCCCCCGGCTGGAGCCACACACACACACCAGATCACTGCCTGAACCACTTCGACCTGATGCCGGGATGGGGGGGATGACTGAACATTTTAACTCCTTCTAGTCAATACATGCGATGTGCAAAGTGAGAACGGGCAATTGCAGCTGAGCTCCCAGTGATTTACATCAGGCTCTTAGGTCTGGGCTATGTAGCACTGGCATAATGTATGGAGGGGGGTATCAAAGCTAGACCGAGTGTCCAATGATCCCCTGGGTTTTTAGACTAAAAAAAAAAACAAACCCAACTAGTTCAAAGTAGGAATATACAAGGGGTTAAATGACATTTTTAACAGCACATCTTGTTCTCAAACAGCACGGATCCCAGCCACGCTAGGCTCGTTGGAATGAACGCTGGATAAACTTAAAAGATTTGCATCTCAATAAAGCCAATTAACTAAGGGTTTAATTACGGGTTAATAAATTATCCGCGCAAACACACACTCACACACACACGAGAGACAGAGAGAGCGATTACAAACATACAGGAGATTTAAATGATCGCATTAAGAGCGCCCTGGGCTAAGAAAATTGAGTAACAATTGGCTTAACTTTAAATCAGCTTGCGAAAATGGTAACACACACACACACATCCACAACACGTTTGGGAGCACACACACACAGAGGACACACAGCCCGGGTATGTAGCATCTCTTATTCAAAAGCAAATTACCTCCAAAATCTGGCCTCAAGCGAATGTCATAGCCTTTCAGCAGTCTATCCACGGTCTCTTTTACCAGTGACATATTGCTAGGGTCATTGACACTAAAAAATAACAATAACACACAGATCTTATTTCTCAGCTCCAATCTACACATTCCTATTAACAGCCAGTAGCATACAGTGCAATTCCAAGTGAAGTAAAAGAGAGATCTCCATCACTCACCTCTGAGCACACACCACTGCTATTATTAAGGGGAATGACCAAATCCCAAAGTAACCCTTTCTCCGGACTCTCACCATCCCTTTGGCTTTTGATATGATTTTGGGTTTCAGTGAAGAGAAGAAGAGATCCAACTTATTCTGGCCAGTGCAGTAATTCTAATGTGAGGCGCATGCGCACGGCGTACCACAACATCAAAAGGAGCAGTGGTTGCTGCTGGAGATCGAGCAAATTTCCTTGCCAAAAAAAAAAAGAAGAAGAATTAAAGGGGAAGAAGGAAATGCATTATTTAAAAAAAAAAGTCATCCACAGGAGGATCAATTGTATTTTTGTTGTCCTTTTTTGTTAGTATATAACATTGACTACAGCCAGCCTGGAAGTTTCAGGAGTTGCAGGGTAGAAGCAGTTTTGCAACCTAGTTTAAAAGAAGGGGGTGGGGGGGGGTGTGCAGAATCGGGTTGGAAACAGGGGAGAAAATAAGGTTAAAAAATAGGCATGCAAAGCATACATATGGTACAAGAAGCAGAAAAGGTGGTGGTGGAGGGAGGGGGGGCGGTGTTTAACTTTATGCTCCCTGGAAACAACAGCCTAAATGGCAGATGAGGTGCAAAGAGAGGGTCCTGGGTTTGCAATGGGCGCGGTGGCGGGGGGATCTGAGCCTCCAGTATTTCTCAGGGAGGGGGAAAAATTGAAAGGATGACGAATAGTTTCTTGGGAGAAGGGATCGCAATGTTTCCCACCCCTCCGGCAGGGCTGCTCGAGGGCAGGGGGGTTGGGGGGGGGTCCTCTAATGACGTGCCTGCCTAGGCAGGTCTCAGGGTTATTTATAACGTGCAAGAGGGTGACAAATTTGGAAGGAAAAAAAAAATGCTAACGTCTCCCTTCTATCGCCTCCGTCCTATTTTCGCCTGGCACCTCCTAGAGCAGCTTCAATGGCTCGGGGGGAGCTCGCGTTATATCACACATGCAGCGCTACGGCTCTGCCTTGAGCAGCAAGGCGAGTTCCTCAGGTAGATGCAGCCCGGCCAAGGGGGGGGGG